CCAGGGTGTCTACTGGCTCCCCTCAGAGTCCAGGTGAAAAACTCACGGGTTGCACAGCCAAAACTTCTCAATAAACCATGTGACCAGCTGCATCCATCTTGCTCTGACTCAAAAATGATTTCAGTGAGCTAAAATTATATGTTACCTTAGTTCTAATGCTGAAGTCCTTCTGATTATTTTAATAACATGCAAATTGCGTCTTTACAACTCAAAGTACATAATCACCTGAGAGTGCCAGTAAGAATCCAGCTTATTAATTACATTAAAATTTATTCTATTAATTAAAGCCAACTCATTGCAATTATAAACCTGCAAATAAAGCTTCCATTAGAAAAATGAAGACATGATTGAAAAGAGGGACACTTTAGTTGCTTTTAAGTTTATTTATTAAGTCATTAATATACCCAGGTTGTTTCACAAGATGTCTCATGTGACTTATTAGTGTGGACTGATCTGAGTCAATTGGTAATGGAATGAGGTATAGGAAGTTGTGATAACAATAAAGAATAAAATTTCTTCCCACCGTTGTGTCTGTGCTGGTCTTAATTTTAATAGGAAAAAGCTGCAAGAGGATGAAAAATGTCACTCAGGTGTCCAGAGTCAGGTGTCTGCGTAAATCTGACCTGGAAGGTACAGGTCAATATCAGAGGAATGGATAGTAGTCCAAGGTCCAGGTGAGTGCTTTGACTTTTTAAAAGTTTTTTTCTGTGTGTCAACACAAGTAAACACATCTGTTAGGAAAAAAAGGGGGGGAGGTTTACAATCCAGGAGGAAAACTCATACACCAAGAGAATGGACACGACTGGCAAAAAAGTATAGTTATATGCAAATATAATGATTTCCCAACTTATTTTTCACTAACCTCCACTTATATAACTACAAGCATAACAATGTAAAGAGGTGACCATTAAGACCACTTGCTGTAACTATAAGAAAGACAATAACAGAACCTGGAGCTGATTATTGAGGGTATTTTTTTAAATGTACAGACTGCTTCTATATAGATCCCTCATTTATTAACCTAGTATTCAATGATCAATAATTTATCACTAATTGTATAAGCACATCTAACTAAACTAAAACACATATGTTTGGAGTGTCTACATAAATATTCAGGCAGGTTTAAAACTGCATGGGAATTCATTCCTGCCAGATCAGCACCAACACACAAACAGTAAGGGGAAAGCAAGACAATGCAAATTCTTGTAGAAACAGAGAATGTGGCACAAGAATAAAATATACACTATTCCTCAAAACTAAATAAAAAATAAAGGATGATCCACAAAGAGAGAAAGACAGCTTAAGTTCTACTAAAATCTTTGCTCCTTGGTCCCACGTATGGTCAGTTAGGTATGGTCTCCTTTTATGACCTGTTTGCATGCCCCTCACACAGGGGGTGTAGCTGAGGGGAGAGGTGTTCACCGGCAATGTCAAGGGAAGGCTGAAAAGAAAGCGTGGGGAATCCGATTAGAGAGGAGACAGAATTTCTGATGGTTTAGGGAGCATCCTTCCTTGCTCCCTCCAGCTTCTGGGGTCTCCTGGCATCCCAGCTCATGGCTGCAGCACTCTGGTCCCCGCTCTGTGCTCACACAGCCTGTGTTTCTCCATGTCTTCACATGCCCTTCCCTCTATGCACGTTGGCTTCTGTCTCCAAATATCTCTGTGAAGACCATATTTCCAATAACGTCACATTCTGAGATACTGGGGAGTAGGACTTGCCATGTCCTTTTGGAAGCAACACAATCTGTATTAGTTTTCCAGAGCTTCAAAGCACCACAGACTGGGAGCTAAACAGCAGACATAGTCCTTCAGCCGAGAGGCTGGAAGTCTGAGACCAAGGACTCAGCAGGGCTGCTTTCCTCCGAGGCCTCTCTCCTCAGGTGTAAATACCATCTTCTCCCTGTGCCCACGTGAGGTCGTCCCTCTGTGTGTGTGTGAGTCCCCGTTTCCCTTCTGATGGACCCCAGCCAGATTGGACTAGGGACAACCTTAGTGATCTTTCTAACAGAGTCCATGCTATTGGCCATTACTCACTCAAACCCAAAGCTGTAATCTAACATACATAGGTAAAAATGTAAATCAAGGCTGAATGAGAGACTACTTATTATCCTTGCCTTGAAACTGCCATCACAGCACAAGAGATGAAAGCTCATGAAGCAATACAAGGATTTCAATTCTCAAATAAAATTATTCATTCCTTTTTTGCATAGACATCTTCCATAGGCCTTTTTTAAATGCATGCTTATGTATCTTTTCTTTTCAACTATAATTTAAGTCAAAAGAATTGATGCTCTTTTTTTTTTTAACAAATTGAGCATCATTTGAACTTTTATACATTCATATCAGAGAAAGTATTTAAATACTCAGTAAGAATCACATCAGGTGACAACTAACCAAACTATATAATGGGAAGTGAGTGAAACACCGTAATCATCTATGATATGATATAACATGAAATGATAAATCTACATCCACACCAAATTACTCCTTTTGAGTTACAAATATCCTGCAAGAGTCTGACACTTTCTCAAGGAAGACAATGCATTTGTTCTTTAGAAACTTACATCCAGATATGATAACTATCTTTTACAGGGAAATTCCTAATTGGATACAAGTTATATCACCATAGATTCTGAAGTCAAAATAATTGCTCCTGTCTCTTTGGATCAAAACGCCAATATTTTAAAACCATGATCAGGAAACACACTGATGGTGTGTATTTTAGTATTTTTTTAAAAACTGTTTCAATCCTACAATAACTTTTTGTTTCCTTAATCTTCATTTGAACAAGCATCATTTTACCACATTTTGTTTTTCAAACAGAGTTGCTAATCAGAGCACGCCAGCTTCAGTGTTGACTCCAGAACTAAGGACTTGTCATTTTCAAGTTCTGCCTTTAATCAACAACAATCCTGCCCCTCAGTACTCAGTGCCAATGGCCTGTTAAAATCTAGCTTAGTTCTTCTCTAAATTCACCCACCTGAAGTGGGGTATCTGGTCTACCTTCAGATTTCCCCTCCAGCCACACATTCATTTCCCAGCTTCTAGATATAATGTGAAAATAGCTGCAGACAAGTCTCTCTCTAGTTCCTCCTCTGCTGAAGAGAGTCAGCTTGCCCAAGGAGCGTCGCCCTCCCAGGGCATCCTGGCTAGTCATCTTAGAGAGGAATAAAGTTAGGTCCCATGCTCCAGGCAGCAGGGCCCCCAGGAGGAATAACTGGGCCTTTCTTGACTCTGTGTCTCCTTCGACTTCTCCCTCCACCCAACCCTGCTTCCTCCACTTCTCCAAAGATGCCTTCACTCCCCATAAACTGCACACAAAGCCCTGTCCCAGATCTGCTTCTCAAGAAACTGATTTGTGACAATGCCTCTAAATCCAGGGAGATTGGTGATGAGAGTGGGCATAATGCTGAATGAGCAATCATGTATGGCTTATTTTATAGGAAAGGAAAGAAGAAAGATATTATTTGAGACACATTTCAGTACTATTAGCATTTTTTATATCTTTGAAAAAGTTCCTGCTGAAATAACCGTGGATGAGAAACTACCGTATAAGGAGGAAATAAAGATAGCTCTCGTAAAATGAAGGGCATACTGTTGGAAATAATTATGTTAAGACTGATATCACTTAACTGAGAATTATGTTCCCTCATCATCTCTAAAAATGCCTGATTAATTCTAGTGTATATGAAAACTGTGAGTGTTGAGGCAGCTTTAAACTCTCCCCACCCCCAGCCACACTGCTGCAAACATTCAGCTTCCGTCCTGTCAAAGACTATGCACTGAACTCATGATGTTAGGTCTCTCAATTTTGAACTGAGCTGTCAAAAGTTCATTTGGATATTCCTGATTCTGTTGTTTTGCTATTTATCTTCTGCTTTGTTTTTGTTTGTTTCTTCAAATGCTGGGAAGCAGGATGGTTGTTTCCTGTTTTTTTTAATCAAATAATGATCCTTCTTAGAAATTTTCATAGCATTTGTTCAGGTTCAGTATTGGGTGCTTTTGATCAAGAAAACATGCAATCCTGAATCTGATTAAAATATGTGGGGAAAGAGTTTTGTAGCAACAGTATAGTAGCAAAGCTCCAATGTTAAAGTGACACGTATTTACCAGTGAAGCCTGATACACAAATAAGGATGGAGATGGTCTGGGAAGCTGGAAGGCCTCCACGCTATTACCAGCAAGAGCAAGTACCCCCAACAGGTCCTTGACCACTGGGGCTGTGGGCTGCAGGTTCACCCCATACTGACATCCATCCTTCATATGGGGATGGAGGTATCACTTGGGCTACACTGCTCAATACGGTAGCCATGTAAGTGGCCACTTAAATTTGAATTTGTTAAACAAAAATGAAGTCAAAATAAGTAAAATTTAGTTTCACAGTTGCTACATTTCAAAGGCCACATGTAGCTGGCTAGTGACTACTGGGGTGGGTAGTAATAGAGAACACAGTCATCATCACAAAAGGTTCTATGGGACACTGCTGTCTTGTGGGATCAAAGCTGAGGCAAGACTAGGCCCAGACCCTTTCCTGTGAATCTCAAATCTATTAAACAGGTTTGGGGAGCAACAGTGTCTCCAGCTGATGTTGATGCCAGGAAGGTACTGGAAAGAGCACTCCTCTTAGGCAGTGTGGCATCCTGGTGAGTGGGGCTGCACCTGTGGTTTGAAGAGCTATACCAGCAGATCTGATCTGCTCTTCATGTCTGAGAAGTGATGAGGTGCAGCCCTGACCTCTGGCAACCATGCTACAGCCCCCGCTCCTGGGACACACCTTACCAGGCCCTGGTAGTACACAAGGTTTCATATCACCACACTTCAACCTGAAGTCGGCAATGTGGTAGGGGGTGGGAGGGGGAAGCAGGGGAGAAGGGGCAGGGCAAAGCAGACAGTAGAGGTCAGCCACCACTGAAGGCCAGACTCTAAAATTCAGGCTGAAAAATAAAGCAGTGTCCTATTAAAATTACTCTCTGGCTCTACCGGCAGCTTCCGACGGCAGGATGTCTCACAGGAAGTTCTCCGCTCCCAGGCACGGGTCCCTGGGCTTCCTGCCTCGGAAGCGCAGCAGCCGGCACCGCGGGAAGGTGAAGAGCTTCCCCAAGGATGACTCTTCCAAGCCCGTGCACCTCACCGCCTTCCTCGGCTACAAGGCTGGCATGACCCACATTGTGAGAGAGGTCGATAGGCCAGGGTCCAAGGTGAACAAGAAGGAAGTTGTGGAGGCTGTGACCATCGTGGAGACTCCACCCATGGTGATTGTGGGCATCGTGGGCTACGTGGAAACACCCCGAGGCCTCCGGACCTTTAAGACCATCTTTGCTGAGCATATCAGTGACGAGTGCAAAAGGCGCTTCTACAAGAACTGGCATAAATCTAAGAAGAAGGCCTTCACCAAATACTGCAAGAAGTGGCAGGACGTAGATGGCAAGAAGCAACTGGAGAGGGACTTCAGCAGCATGAAGAAGTACTGTCAGGTCATCCGTGTCATTGCCCACACCCAGATGCGCCTGCTTCCTCTGCGCCAGAAGAAGGCCCACCTCATGGAGATCCAGGTGAACGGAGGCACTGTGGCTGAAAAACTGGACTGGGCCCGCGAGAGGCTTGAGCAGCAGGTCCCTGTGAACCAAGTATTTGGCCAGGATGAGATGATTGATGTCATTGGGGTGACCAAGGGCAAAGGCTACAAAGGGGTCACCAGCCGTTGGCACACCAAGAAGCTGCCCCGTAAGACCCACCGAGGGCTGCGCAAGGTTGCCTGTATTGGGGCGTGGCATCCCGCCCGGGTGGCCTTCTCTGTGGCTCGGGCTGGGCAGAAAGGCTACCATCACCGCACCGAGATCAACAAGAAGATCTACAAGATCGGTCAGGGCTACCTCATCAAGGACGGCAAACTGATCAAGAACAATCCCTCTACTGATTATGATCTGTCTGACAAGAGCATCAACCCTCTGGGCGGCTTTGTCCACTACGGTGAGGTGACCAATGACTTTGTCATGCTCAAAGGCTGTGTGGTGGGAACCAAGAAGTGAGTGCTCACTCTGCGCAAGTCCTTGCTGGTCCAGACCAAACGCCAGGCCCTGGAGAAGATTGACCTCAAATTTATTGACACCACCTCCAAATTTGGTCACGGTCGCTTCCAGACTGTGGAGGAGAAGAAAGCCTTTATGGGACCACTTAAGAAGGACCGAATTGCCAAGGAAGAAGGGGCCTAATAGAACAGATTGTACAGCTGGTAGAATCTCAATAAAATTATTTTCCAGTGAAAAAAAAATAAATAAAATAAAATTACTCTCTGCATTTACATGGGCCAGAAAGAGCTCACTGACACTTTGTTTTTAGGCCATAATTAAACCCCAGGAAGACATGGTGCTGGCTCATACAAAAATATGACAGCCATACTTCCTCTATGTGACATCCAGGCCAATAAATACATCTATAATTACCTGAACCAGGAGGGGATCCAATTGACCGGGATTACCAGACTCAGATACACACATTCCCATATGCTAAGCTGCAGAATTACTTTAAAAATGACACCTGAAAATATGTTTATCAGCACTTTATAGTTCTATCTTCTCACTTAAAATCAGAATGGAAAAGTAGAGTATTGCTTAAGTAACACTGAAACTTTTAGGTTGGGATATTAAAAATACATATAAATTGAAATGTATCAAGATAAGGTAACTACCATAAACCTAGAACCTCAAGGCTTACACAACAAAATGGGGACACATAGGGTGCTTGGTCACCCTGGGATCCAACCTGTCAGAAGCTCTGCTGTTTTCACTACCTGGCTTCCAAGATGGCCATGGAAGGAGAAACCCAGCTGGCAGACTGGGAAGTCAGGGCTTCACAGAAAACGTGAGGGCCGCGCCTGGAATTGCGACACATCCTTTCTGCCCGCATCTTGCTGGGATAATTCTAACCCAGCAAGGATTCAGCTCCAGAGGTAACACTAGAGGATGTTTACACTGTGACGAGACACAGAACAAATTCAGGGAAACATACATGTAATGCCCTTTCTGCTACAGAAAGCAACACCCGATATCAAATCAACTCCTCATGGGAGAAAGGATTCCTGCAAATCAAAGCCATCGCTACAACATGGAGAGATACTTGAGATTTTAATAATATAAACATAAAAAAGACTTTTTAAGACTAGCAAAATACTAGAAGACAAGAAAATATTGACTGTCCAGCTATATAAAAATCCAAACTTTCCATGTAGGAAAGAAACCACTTTGAGCAAAGTTAAAAATGAATGACAATCTCGGGTAAATTATTTACACCTCATGTTACTGATGTGAGCATGTGTGCACGAATGTGCATATATTCACGTGTGTGCACACATGTGAGTGCAAGTGTGTGGTGTGCATAGATAAAATAACTGAAGGTGACAAGTGAAGAGGCAGAATGTAAGGGAGACCAAGGACCCAAATACCACTACCTTGATCTGCCATAAATTGGTTGACAAGGATTTGTTTTCATAGATCTCTAAGAAGAGAAGCACAAAGATTGACATCAAGGGAAGAAACATGGATATTTCTAAACTGTTTGTGGCTACAGACAAAAAGCCACAGGTCCTCTGTATTTATATAATTCTACTGAACATTTCAGAGATGATGCTGTGTCACAAGACTTCTGCTTCATAAGTATAAGATAAACACAAAAGTGTCAGAGTATCAGCAGAGGTCCAGTGCCTCTAATTCATCACATTTACCTGCTTGAAATATGACACTGATCTCAGGTTTTTAATCAGGGTGACAGAATGGCATAAGCAGGGATAGGTTTTTACAAAGATGTTTGTTTTCTAGGCCCTAACATAATATGTAGAATGCAAAGTAAAAATCTTAATAATAGAACAGAATACTAACTTGATCTAGATTTGCTGAAATATCGACTTTTAAAGGATTTAATTTTTTTCCATTTTCAACTTGCAAGGGGGGAATATTGTGTGCAAAATATGTGTATTGTAGAAAATAAGCAAACAGGACATAGTAACCATTTGGTGATGCGCTACAGTTTCTGATAAGCCCCGCTGGTAAGCCCTGGAAACGTGTTTACCATTAATTCAGATTAACACAATCTTAACTACAAGACAACCTACTGTCCAGTGTTCTCAGGGTCGACAGTGAGAGATGCTAGCTAATGAGGAGACAGTCACTCCATGTCTTGTGGAATGTTAAAATGTTTCAGAGTTTGAAAAACAGACACCAATTTCAATCTAACTAGATCAGTTAACAAAAATACTCTCCTGTCTTTCAGGACTAGCTGACCCATGTCGGAGCTGTTGTTAACTGCTAAGTTTCACAAAAGATGTGAAATGGTAAATGAGTAAAATATTGATCAGCAGCTTCCACAGAGAACACTTAATGATGCCGCACAGAGAGAGGCAGAAAAATCCATGTTTATGCTCATTTAGGGAAGTCATTGGAAGTCTGACTCCAAATGGAAAGTGCCAATACAGTGACAAGGGACAAAACACAATCTTTACTGACACTACAGACTATGCAGAAGGCAAAAGGGCAGAACTTCACCACTGGGAGAGCAATCAGGGAAAATCAGTTAGGTCAAGGAGAGACAGCACTGCTGCAGAATGCCCACTGGGATCTGGAGGGAAGACGTCACACTGAAGATTGAGTGACAAGGGGAAAAAGGGAGATTTGAAATTTGAACCTAAGACCCAGAGTTGATTGAAAATTTCTGCAAATGAACATGAACATGGCAAGGTGTGTAAAAAGATGAAAGCTGTTCTAAAAGTAATATTATTTTGTACCAATTACCAAGTCCCCAGAGCAGTTAAATTGTAATTCAGAGACTGAAAACAGGCATAATGAATTTTAGGAGCATTTGAATGCAACTGGATGAAGAGGAGTCACTATCAATACATAGGCTTCCTCTTTTCCTTCAACCTATCAAATGTTTACAGTTTCATTTTACATTTGTTTCCCTGTGAATGTCAGTAAAATGCAAGAGCAAGTGCTGGTTTTCCTTCCAGCTGCTTCCCACTTGGGCAACTCAGTGTGGTCAGTGGAATGTATAACAATAAGACAGTTTACCCTCTTTGCTGAATTTGACTTTATTAAAACTGTATTATCATAATTATTTAAACTCTAATGATCACTGTAAATTGTTTCTGTTAGGTTGCAGTTAACAATGATAAATAGTACTCCTACATAACAGGAGGTGATGTTCATAGTAAAATCATATAGATCCAGTACATTCCAAATAATTTCCACACTCTTAAATAAAATCATAAAGTAATTTCAGCTACTTTGGTTTAGACTCCTCAAAACTAAACATACATTAATCTTTAGAGTTATGTTTAAAGGTAACATTTATGTGTACAAGCACTATCTGAAAAAAACAGGCTACACTTTTAAAGGGTTTCTTTTTTTTTAAGATACAGTGATTCAAATATTTGTGTTAAGTTAAAAATACATTTATGTATGAAAGCACATAATCCAGTTGAAATTGCATAGATAAAATTCAACTAATTATGTGTTAAACTTTAACAATGATATCTCTCTTGACTATATCACTCAATTAATGCTTAAAGACAAACTGAATTTTATAGATCAACTAACCAAACCTTCTCTACTCGAACTTTTCCATGCAATTTAATGAAATGCATTTCAACCTGTCATAATGAAATGTTTTGTAATTAGCACTAAAAATAAGATATGGCATTCTAAAGTGCACTTCATTTACTACATATTTTTTCTAATATGGCTTATGGTGCCTTCTACCCCATGTGTCCATGATATAAAGTACCAGGCACTAAGGATGAAAGTGTACTTATGTATTTTTAAAAATTGCACTGGAAGTGCATCAAGAAAGTGTACAAATAAACTATCACTGAACCTGGTAGGCTTATTCATTTCTCGAGACTGGGATCATCACCTGTCTCCTTTATTTCCAGTACTCCAGCTTTCTGTAGAGAAAACTTAAAAAAAAAAAAAGGCTTGCTCTGCATCACTGTGCGTGCACATTATCCCCAGAGCACCCTTCACTCTCTGGCACTCAGTAGAGTTGGGCAAGGCTCAGCCAGAGTGGTTGCCCTCTCCCTCCTGACCTCTGACAATCATGGTACCCGAATGCCTGAAAAGAAGGAAAGCTTGCAGGTAACTCCTTCATCTGTCCTCATTACATGACAGGTGCCATTCTTCAAGGTGGCATTAAAGAGAAAGGTTGCACAGGGTATTTCTAGACAACCTACATACAAGGCTGCAACCATGCAGAGTGGGATGTGAGAGCCCTCGACATCCACAACCTGGCAGGCCTCCGCCAGAACAAAAGCTGGACACTCATCCAGCCACAGCTTCTGTGAAGAACTGAGAAGGTTCCTCTTCACCACAAGTCTTATAGCTCCTGCAGTGCCTTTTGAGGATGTATCCTCTGTGTTCATTGCAGTGAAATCTTTCTTCAGTGAGATTTGTATTTAAGCATCCCTATGGAGCATCCAGTCTGCTAAGTCACTACTTCAAAATTGTGTTGCCTTTAGAACACACGCAGTCCATACTGAATGAGTAGAAGAATCTCAAAACTTCTCCTGAGGCTTAACTCTGTACTCAAAGTTGAGCTAAGCTTTGTGACTGCTTTAACAACTTACTGTATGGTCTCCTCAAGGAGTCGGCAGTGTATTTAAGGAGAGGATTATAACACATGGCACAGATGTGACTGTAAGGCAGCATGTGACCGAGAGCTAAACTGTGTGGGGCATTTGGGCCACATGGCCACAGTGGGCAGGACACAAGTAGAGAGCCAGAGCAGGCAGGAAAGACTGTGCAGAGGACTGACCTCTGTCCTCACGAGCAGGGTGAGGGTGGAGTCTGTCAACCACAGGCACTCTGGACCCAGGCATGAACAGAACAAGAAACCCACTCATCCAACAAGCTGACTAAGAGGCTATTCTCTGGAAAGTGCTGGTTCAGCGCCAAGGAGAATTCAAAGATAAATGATACATCAAAGCATTTAAAATACCCGGCAGATCTCAGTGATCACTCAGGGAAGGCATGCTTCCAGATGACTCACAAGTATGACCTTCCCTTCTCACAAACCACCTATGGATGGTACTAGTGCTATTATTATTCCACTTTAGAGACAGGAGGTGACACAAGGGCTGAATAAACTGTCCAAGGTCGTTCAGTGGGTAAACTGGGGTGATGGGTTCTGGCCTTGTAAGAATGTACATGGCACAGCAGGAAGAGGG